ATAATAACGTAATAATCCGGTGTGCATTACACGGCTAATGAATAGACACGCGTCCAACTCCGAAGGACTTGACACGCGGGCGGCAACTTAGATAACTCTGCCAACGTAACGTACGCGTGCGTATGTATGTACGTGCACGAGCGTGTCGTGCATGTGTGTGTATGTGTGTGTGTGTGTGCGAGCGCGCTCACGGTGTAATGGCCCCCACGTGATACACCGCGTCCCCGTCATTAATGAAGTCGCAGAATGTATTCGCATTAGGTGCCATTATACGCGAGCTTCGAGCATTGCATTCGGCCGTGAGGCAAGAATGCCTCTCGTGAACGTCGTTAACAGAGCCGCTGTTGTGGTCTGAGGTCGATGACGGCGCGAAGGAAAAGAGAAAAGAAAAAAAAAAACCACGCGAGAGTGAAAAGGAAAGAAAGGTGGAGGGAAAAAAGAAACGAAGAGGAAATAGCGAGTATCGAATACCGTGGAGGAGAGGTGGAAGGAATCGTTTTCTCTGACCGTAAGGGAATGGATCGTTCGACGGTGTCAATGGAGAGACACCACGATGGAATTTCTTTCTCGCTTACTTTCCGAGCCGAGCAACTGATCCGACACCCGATGTATTACCGATAGATTCGACGATGATTAATAACGACGAAGGGGATGCTCGAAGGCGAGCCTCGAGGAGTCGAGTGGAGTACGTCTCAGTTGAAGTACACGCCGGGGGATCTTATTGTGACAAAACTCGATAGAGCGCGGGGGCTCTGTCGGGTTTTAATTGCCATTTTCGCGTGTGATGGTGCTTGACGCGCGACTTCGCCTCTTTGGAGAAACGTGTTTTCAAACACGGGGGAATCTCGCGTACTTTGAAACGTTTGCGTACGTTCGAAAAGAAGATATAATCCGCTGGAAGACGGCGGTACCGGTTTCTAAATGTTTTTATTTTTATTTTTATTTTTTTATTTTTTTTTTTTTGTTACGTAACATGATTCTAAAATACAACACTGTGTTGTACAAGATAATCGACTGATAAAAGAAAACGGATAAGAGATTAGAGTAAATAACGAAAATAACGAACATTGATGTTTGCTGATCTTTTATCTAATAATACTACTCTCAACTGTCTCGATAACTTGATATCAGGGAAGAACGTTTCGATCTGAGAAAATGGAAACGAAATTAAATTGTCACGTGCCTCTTCCGTAGAAATGTTAGTACAAAGGGAGAAAAAGAGAGAGAGAGAGAGAAAACGGGACATCTCGTCGTAGGAAAAATAGGAAAATGTCAAGTAACGAAACGAAAAAAGAAAGAAAGAAAGACAGAAAGAACTAGTTCGAACTAGTTGGAACTGACAAAATACAAAATTTCCACGAAGCTTTTTCTTCGCTACAACGGAGAATTCTGTCCTAAATAAAATTTCCAGCTACAAGGTAATTTCCTTGCCTGAATGACAGCTCCTTTCCTTTCCATCTCTTTTAGACGAATAACCTCTTTCTCGAGCAAGAAAAAAGGATTCGCAATATTCCATTTCCCAGCTGACTAGAGAATCTACGCTCTCTCTTTCTCTCTCTCTGTCAATAAGGTATGTACATAGCCTGTGCAATTACGCTCTACATCAGATTCTACGGAAATAATAGCTTCTGCAAATTTTTATCGCAACAACGTTGCACGAGCCACAACAGAAGGAATAATTACGATAACAGATTATATTGTGGAATGTATAATTATTTTCGCACGATTGTGAGCGACTCGCTAACACAGGAGCATCGAGAGGTCATGAATTTTACCGATACGCGTATTATTATTTCATAATGCAGAACGTTTGCGCAATTGTTGTCTGAAATTGTTGCTTAGGGCACAGATTCGCGGATGATAGGAATGTAGAATTATTACGAGTCAGTTTCCCCGGCGTGAAAATCGAACTGGACAATCCAGAAGAAAGCATCAGCCGCAACTGGCTTTCTCTCCATATTTCCTTCGTTGCTTTTTCTCTTCAAGGTGATACACCACCTTATGGAACTGAACGCGAGAACTCGTTTATTTCTCTAATTCAGTAGCATAGTCGTTCGATACTTTAGTAGCTAATTTCGTTCGTCTCTTTTTTTTTTTTTTTTAATTGGAAGGAACGAAATTAGTAATTTTTTTTATGTAAAATTATTTCAGTTTCTATGTATTGATCGTGAATATTGAATTTGCTGTTTGCGTACGGTGGAATAGTTACTCGTGATCGATAAATTGATTACTCATATTTTTGGTAAATAGGTAAATAATTCGATAGCTCGATAAATTTAAGTCTTCGACGTCATCCTTTTCTGTGATACTTTAGTCAAATATTAGACATTAATTAAATGCAGCAGATTAATTCTATATTGGTCTACGTTAAACTAAATTTCAGCCAACTCTTGCTAACCTACTTATTTTAACCTGAACTTATTGTCGAAACGAAAAATCACTAATAGAGTGGAGAATCAGTGACCTCTCCTATATTACATGAATTATTATATAATCCAGTCGACAAGTTTGACAAGTACCATTTAACCAATAATAATAATATTCTACCAAAGTGCAAGAATATATGCACATTATTAACAATAAAACCATCGATTAAAACCGAAGATTATCTCTATGAAAAAAACGAAAGAAGAAAAATACGAAAATAATTTCACAGGTGTCAACGATTGTATAGGAAGGGTCAAAAGGGTTTATTCCTCTTTTTTTTTTCAATAAAACATCAAAATATAAGAAAAAAATTAATCTTATTAAACGTAATTTAAATTAAATAAGTAAGTTCAAACATGAATTTGAATTGGAACAGAAAAATTAAAAAAAATATATATATATAATAAAAAAGATTGCGGATTGATTTCAGTGGGAAGTGATTTTTGGCCCACCCTATGTTATTTCCGTTTATCGATCATACTCGGCCTGTTTTATCGCGTTGATATACATACACACGTACTTAAACGCAGATCGTAAAGCACGGAAAATGTAATCGTGTGCGAAGAATTCCTGGCATTGAATTAAGCGGAGCCAGGGAAAACGGGATATCCCAGTTCGATTATCTCGGTTCGCGTGCACGTCATATCGATTGTCCTGAAATGTTTATACGTCCGTACAAATGGGCAGGGGGTCTCCCGCTTCGCTTATCTCTGCTTTACAGCAATTTTCCACTGTTTGCATTGACGCTACTTCCTCGTTGATCTCGTTCGAAGCGAGGCTTTAACTTTTCAGACGTTCCGAACTTCCTTGTAATTCTCTATTATATTTATATTATTTTATAATATAAAATGTATATTATATTTTGCAACTTAAAAGTTACCTCTATATAAATATTTTGTGAATACTTATTGCCTCGCTGTTGTACGTCATTCACACACAGTCATCGGAAAAATACGAAATACCATTCGTTTTATCTACCGTGTGCTACAATAATTAAATAATTAGATAGATAATTTATATTATAGACTTCGTATATCTTTGTACACTACTTATGCATTCTCTGCATTTTTGTCAGTTTCAATTTACTATAATCCGTAGTTTACTTACAACGAGTAAATCCCACAATAACAAGTGAAGATTTTAATAATTATATAAATATAAATGATATAAATTATAATGATAATTATATTAATAATTATGCACAATAATTTTTCTCATTTACAAGCGAATGAAATTCTAATTAAATTTATAGACGAGTATAAGTTTCACGACGAAGATCAAATACCGTACTTCAGTATGTCTGGAATTCGACAAATGTTTGGTGATCGAAATCAGAATTTCTCTTTGGGGACTGTTAACAAGCGGTCGTAGGAATCGTTGCATATTTCACCGTGCTCGCCTTCGACTGACACTAGGAATCAACGACTGTTTTGTCAATGAATTATCGAAATTCCCGCCGCGTACGCTCGCCTTCTGGTAACTTGCGGGAATTCACAGTTAGCTACGGCCGGATCATAATTGATACCGCGTTAACACGGTTACGCGTGCAACTGCTAAACTACTTACGGTGGTCTGCGAAAATACTTATCGTAGAAAATACGTATCTTGCATTATGACAGAACTTTTTTTTTTTTTTAATTTTTACTAAGACTTTCATGGAACGCTACTACCGTGTAATATAAAATTTGTTTAAAGATGTATGTTTATGACTTGCTAAGGTCATAAACATATGCCTGATAAAGACTGAATAATAATAGTCTTGAACGTATAAATAAAGATAAAAATGGTTCCATTAAATATTATATGAACATCATATAAATATCTAATGTAAATATTTATTATATAAATACCTCGTAATTGAAAATATACTTGCTGGATTAAGTTTAAAGATGTGTACTCGCTAAAGTCACAAACATATACTCGACAAAGACTGAACATACAAAAAAAAAGTCTTAAACATACAAAAAAGATGGTTCCACTAAATATCTCTGTACAATTTAATACAGCTGTGTTACTTGCAATACTGATGAAATTTCAAAACGCCAACACAGAAATATATAAATTTCACATGTGCTCGAACACTTCCACGACACGGTTGCACACATAACGAAAAGGACTAGATCCTGTTACATCTCCAAACCACAAATTCCTCAACGACTGCCAACTGTCGTCTCACTCGTGTTTATTGGCAATTACCAATCCGGTTACACGACCAGACTGTCGATTCCTTTCTCAATCTACTTTGTACACGTAAAAACGAGAAGATCCTTGCTATATCCCGAAGAAGATGGAAATCGATTCGCGTGAAATACGTCGTAGCTAGACGAACTTTTCAACCAACAACAGCTGTCGACTTACTTACAATTAGACACAGCACTTGGCAACGTAATCGCGCGACGACGATTATTGATTCCTTCTCGGCGAGAACCGGATGTTTGAATCACCGAGCCGCGAACGATTCATTAACGAGCGACGTTCATTTGAGAAACTAGTGCTATTTCGAGTATGTTCGTATGTATAATATATGTCGGACGGAGATTAACATGTTGCGAAACCGTGTGCGATTATTGCAGGGGGTCCAAAGCACCACAACTTTCCTCGGGATAATGCGAAGCCTGGAGAGGTTATCGGGTAGCGATCAAGACTGCGATCAGGAGATGTATATCGACCTGGACGACGCTTCCGTCGACTCGCTTACCGGAAAACGCAGTCGCCATCATGTCGTTGGCGCGGAGGTGAGTACTTTCCCTCGAGCACGTCTCTCCCCTATTTTTTTTTTTCCTCTTTTTCTTTCTTTCTTTTTCGTGTAATTTGACCGAACGAGTAAAGTGACGACGAGACAAATTAAATTGTACTCGTTGTCAGGCTGGAGTGACGTATCTCCTCTCAGTTCTTTCGCACCTGAGAATTTCTCAGTGGAGGACCGTTGCAGGAGATAGTGGAAATAAGGGAATGTAAATAGAAGAGTGAGAAGAGTGACTGAAAAAAAAAAAGAAGTATTGGCAGAAATTGTATCTCTTTGAAAGTTGAAAATTGAAAAGAAAATTGAAGTTTGTACAAGACTGTACTAACTCTGCAAAAGTAAATGCAGAGAGAAAGGTCGACGGAGGAAAGGTGGGCAAAGACGAACAAAAGTATTAACACAGATGTATTGTATTTTTTATCTAAACTTTTCTACCGTGTGCGAACGTGATGATACGATAAAATTCAACGAAGAAAGTTTGGCGAACAAATTGACGTGTTTCACTGTATGTGTTTCTTATCTGTGTTTCTTTCCTTATCTTTACTTATAAAGTGACTGTAAGAATATAAAAATGCTGTTCCGCAAGGGAACTATGTACTATGATTAGGAAGGCAAACATTTGCGCAAATCGAATTTCTCCGTAGGATCCTGTGTAAAATTCTGCGAAGAATATCTTCAAGTTCAAGTTTCTGTAAGATGTAACCTTCGAATCTAGAATTTAAATGTGCCATAATAATAAAATAATTAGATATAATATACATAGCAGCATGGTTAATTATTGCCAGTGGCTGTACTGATGAAGAAAAAAATGGATAAACCAACGTGCGTGTATGCGTTTTTAAAAAAAAAACATAAAAATTCAATTAAAAGTCCACGCAAGATTTCTAGAACTATTTAAATTTTTATTTTCTAACTATAGGTCGATATAGAACAAGAGAAAAGAGATAATGACACTGAAATCTCGATCAGATAAAATCAGGAATTTCAATTCCTGAAAAACACTTTAAAATGCAGGCTGTAACGTGATCGTTTTAAGAAGCGTTCTCAACTCAACGCGTTTGGTTTTTAAAATAATTATAAAGGAATTACTAATTACAAGGGAAATTACATTTACAAAGAGAATACATAATGAGAAAAGTAACAATTATAATGAAAACATCTGTGTCAACACTTCTGTTTGTCATTATGTAAAACCAACATAACTGCGTACATGTATGTACATACATTGTATATGAATGAAGTTGGAGGACGTCACTATAGTTACAATATTGGTGTTTGTAAATTTCCTGTTAGATCGGGCAAAGTTTATCAGCGTGTGTCTCGATCTATTTACTGACAATCAGAGAAGTATATCTCGCTTTTCGCCAATAAATCCGCCAATAAATCACGAAGATATCGCGTATTTCAGAAATTCCAGAGCATAATTACATAAAAAAAAAAGAGAGACGGAGAAACAAAAACAACAACAACAGAGGTATTCCTCTCGCAGAAACGAAAGCATAGCAGAGCATAATATAAAAAAAAAAAAGCAACCAAAAGTCTGAATTATCAGTATGTATCATTAAAATAATATATGGCCGAATTACGCAGTGTCGAACTCTATAATCATCGCATATCCGAACGAGTTACGTGCGAAAGAAAATACAAAGATAAAATTATCACACGTTGAGCAGTGAACAGTTTACGCGATTATTTCAAGCAAATCTCGTGGTAGCCTGCTTGCAGAGATAACAAGAGAAATATAAATTTAGAACGATACCATTTTATTGCCATTTTGTTGCCGTTTGTTCGACAAAGTCTCAAAAGTATAGCAGGGTTCAACGGCAACTTTATTTCCACGATTAGTTGTACAAACAGGTGCAGCAATTTCGCGTTATCTCCCTTTCGATCGATTAAAGATAACGATTGTTGTAGTTCCAATTCAATTAATCGTAATCGATATTACGGAAGTAAAAAAAAACTCACGTAGCCGCTTTTTACAAGCGACGATAAAACAATTGGCTCGCATGCTAAGTGTCGGTACGTTCGACTCCGTTCTTTTATTCAATTCTCGAGGCAAACGCCACGAATGGTGGGGAATCCGATTATCCTGATGGTCGACAAGACAGCGTGTAGCAACAAACACGAAATTATTATACGGATATCGCGGCGGTCTTAATCTTATCCGTTACACACTGCGCGAAACTGAAGTTTCCAACGGCTATTAGAATATGGCTTACGTAATCCCGCGATTATATCGTACATAATGAAAATATATACATCGACGAAGCGCGCGGGATCGAACGAATGTTTCGTCTTGAGGAAAAAAAAAAAGAGGAAAAGGAAAAAGACGAAAAACCAAGTTTCCTCAATCGCCTCGAACAAGCTCGGCTGAAATGAAAATTTTTCACGCGAATCTCTCGTCTACCGATCAGTTCGTAAATCTGCGTTTCGTGAGTTTCCTACCGACTTGCGAACGAGAAACAGAAAAAGATAATTAGCTTTTATAAGTGATTGAAGAGTCGTAGAGGTTGATGTTGATTTAATGGGTGTTTTTAAAACGATTGGAAAGGTGGGTGAGGAGAGCGACAGCAGTGGCAGCGAGAGGAGCCCGAAACAGGCGAAGAGAAGAAACCGCGGTGGACCACCAACGACGAGGAGACGAAAAAGTGGAATTTCCGCGCGAGAGAGGAACCTGAGGAGGCTCGAGAGCAACGAGAGAGAGAGAATGAGAATGCATTCCCTGAACGACGCTTTCGAGGTAATTTTTCACGCGTTGCAAAATACCAATCAGTTCATCGCTACTTTTCCCGCGATGACACGCTTCGATTCGGCTCGTAATAATTCGAGAAACACAAAGTGATAAAAAATGTTCGTAAATTTATTTCTGTGAAAGTTGACCGGGTCAAAGCAACGTCTATCTATGAAAATCTTTTATAAATATGGTTCGAATTGATATATTGAATTAATATATTCGCAACACATTTGTGCGATAAATGCGACGAGGCAACATTTTCATAATTGCTAGCTTTGAATGTATTGGGTTTACGATATTTTTTGAAATTTCATTCTCACGAGCAGCGATTATTCGAAAATTTAATGTAAACGTTTCGAAGCGTTTATTGCAAACATATATTTACTAAAGAGTTGTACACAAAATTATCGTTTTAAACATATCGATAATTTGTATATATAAAGATGATTAAGCATCTAAAGGTGATCATACTTTATGTGCAATGTACTTTCGTATGCAATTAACGTTTTGAAAGAAATCCGTAAAAGAAAAAGCACTAATGAAACGTTTCGGATTTTATCATATTGAAACTTTATCATACGTGGTCATAAAAATCATGTCCCGTTAATCGAAATACACATAAAATACGCAATGTATTCGTAAAAAGCGCGCGCGAGTCTTCAAATACTTTATACGAGACTACCAATTATTCCATTCACGGGTCACTTAATGGTCAAAATTTCTTTCAACGTTCCAAACGTCTCAATTTATTTTAACGTCTCAGAAATTCGGAAACGCCAAAGTTTCTAATTTCTATTCCCGATGTGATACAGAAGTCGACGACGAGATTTCGCTTTTCAAACCACGCGTATCGAACGACGACGATGTTATCCCTTCGCGCGGCCCAATCCTATTATTTCATATATCCAATACTCCGCCTCGGAGTATAATAATAATAGAAGCGTAATATCTAGTAGACGTTGCCAATGCCGGATCTACGGTGACCGTGGGCGAAACCGCGTAGTGCTCGAGATGTTATTTAAGGGTGGCGAACGCGCGGTGGGGCGTGAAATAAGGGAATTCAAAGTTGTAAAGTTCACTATGGTAGCTCGTTGCATCGCCTTATGCAAAACGTCATCTTCTCGCAAACAGGTCGAGGAGACAGCAAACGGATAAAGAGACAAGGGTATTATCGTGAGACACAGAGACGTGCTACACGTTACACGGGATATTAAAAAAAAAAAACGTGAACAGGATATTTACGAGTGCGACTCTAAACGTCGGGAGGAATGAAGAAAGTTTCGTGTAACGAACAGTTTGATTCTAGAGATACATTGACGAAGCTTCTTCTCTGTTCTTTCACTCATGCTGCGTGTTTCTTACTTTGAATCGATTGAATCGATGTAACCAGTGCGAGTGAGATACTATTTTTTCAACGAAATATTTTATAATTTATATTATTATATAAATTAATATTATATTAAATAGAAATAGAAATTATTAAATAGAAATATTTTATATTATATATTTAACAATTTACGCCTCGAACGACATTTTCACGCAGAAACTTTCTTCGTCGCTTTAACATCCCGACTCGCGTTTACAAGTACCACGCTTTTCGTTATATTGACATTTTTAACAGAAAGTTTTCTTCTCGAAAACACGATTTCTCTGAACACGCGCAGCGCACAATTGCAATTGAACTGTCGCGCAATTATCGGCAACAATGTTATCATTTTCAGCAACTACGCGAGGTGATACCGCACGTGAAAATGGAAAGGAAGCTCAGCAAAATAGAGACGCTTACGTTGGCCAAGAATTACATAATGGCCCTGACGAACGTCATATGTGAAATGCGCGGCGAGGAGCAACCGTACACGTAAGTAAACTTTATCGTAATCCGTACGCGGCCTCGTTCGCGGAACAACAAAGTACGTAACGCGCAAATGAAGAAGAAGAAGAAGAAGAAAAAGAAAATGAGAGACGCGGTTACGATAATCGATAGAACAACGTAAAACGTTCTCTGCGGCGAATTAATCGAGAATGAAGCTTGATTGAAACCGGCGTTATTGCGCAATGCCTATAATATATCCTCGAGATGATCTCGGTTATATTCGCGATAATAACACACGAAGATTAACAAAGACAACGCGCGCAGCGATATTCAAATCTCGCGTTTACAAAATGGCACCCGGAACGTAACTTGTTTTCTAGCGTAACGGCAATCTGTGCGCGTTTCACGTCGAACACATTCCATGCGTCAGGTGAAAAAGTAGGACGCTCGCAAGAAATATTTTTCTTTCACCTCGACTGTCCTTTATTTCATAACGAGTTTGTTTATTCAAATTCAATTCGATGGTAAATCAGAGTTATGCACGACGATGAGAATTGATTCGATTTTACTAGACGTGTCTTTCAAGAAAAAAAAAAAAAAAAAGGAGGAAACTTTTTAGGAAACTCTAAACTAGCCTTAATCTGGAATTCAGGATGAAATTCTTTGTACTTAGAGCGATTCAAGAGAATGAGTTCAACCGTAATTCATTCGATTGTCGATCACTCCAAAATTAGACGCAGTTAATGGACAAATTTTATTCGAGGTCGTTCAAACAATGGACATTTGCAATTCGTGTATGTCGACGTAATCGATTTAGAGTACAATGTCCGATTGCTATTAAACGGTCAAAGATGCACCGCTTTTTCCTCATTCCCACCGTTCTTCCAACGCCTCGATGCTTCCTCGCCCGTGGCACTCGCGCATACTTACACATCTCCCAATATCCTGCTCGACTCTTGTTTATCGTTCCGTTCCATTAATTAAAAGAAATCACGATACCATTGCAACTGGGGATACAATGTGCTTTCTTATCGATGAAATTTTAATATTGACAAAAGCACAATTTGTTTTTGTACAAAATCGAGCGACGAAGGAAGAGAAATCTAGATCGAAGTAAATTCTAAACCTCGATCCAGCTAAATCCGCAACGTGCGGATGACGAATGTCGAAGAACAAAATGAAAATTATTGTCATTGATCATTTAAATGTGTTAAACACGTGGGGCAAGCGCTTGAGTCCGATATTATCGGCACGTCGTTATCAAAAAGAGACGATAGGAACTTTTCAAGGTTGACTCTTCAAAACACTCGGGATCAAATCAGACGACTTGACTCTCTCTCAATGAATATTTCAGAAAAGAATCAATTTCCTCGCGAGGCATTTTTTACTTTCAAATTTCAAATTAAACTTCATTAAACTATTCTATTTTAAACTTCTATCAAGCCATTCTATTCTAAACTTCATCCATTTAAAACGAGGCGAAGAATACTTGAATTTAAATTTGAACCTCGAACAAACTTATAGGCATTAATAATTAGCTCGAGTATTAAAATATCTGCAGGAACTCTTCGACAGAGACAGAAAATGGAATTTTCAAGAGCAATACCAACGGAATTAAACGCGTTGCATAAACGCAATTCCCGTCATTTCACTGAACACTGAAAAATTCCAATTTCAGAATCGAGCAAAACTTTTTTTCTTCATCAACTTTCGTTCACGGGTTGTAAATAACGCCCGAAGTGTGGCGTTATTTTCTAATTGCAAAACTAACAGCGAACAGTGGCTGTTAATACACAAGGCGTGAGGTATGCATACCAAGTGAATTAGTTACGTGAACATTTATATTCCGTTCGTACACAGGCGAGAATCGTTGCCACAAATTTCGCGTTCCACGACGATTGCATTCGCCGAATCCTAAATGGTGCAATCGAAGTGTCTTCGTTAACGTCGAATCCGCTGTTAGCTTTATCGAGTTTCAGTTGAACGGTCTCGTATACGTGTGCGTATGCGTCCGCTAGACAGTCGCGTTCGAGATAAATAGACTATTACTCGTTATTATTTATAAATTCGAAAGTGAAGACAGCATTTTATCGGCGACCTTTGCTTTATCCACTGTCGGAATACTCCTCTGGATACTGGCATTATCTTTCACTCCCACCGCCGAGTAAACTAAACGCCGATCGACATTTTGCTGAATTTTTCTCACTTTCGAGACGAAACTTCCCTCGGGAATCTCGCGAGTTAGCTCTTCCTCCTTCGCCTCGAGAGCGAATCAATATTCCATCTACGGTCGATGACGCTTCCTTTTTTATCCTTTATACAAAATAGAATATTCTTTCTCTTTCTCTTTTTATCGTTCTTGACAACCATGATCAATCCCACGTGTGATTAATACAAAGATCTTTTACGTCGAAGAGAACGTGAAAGCGAAGCAGCGTCGTCTCTCTCGAAAATTCCTCAAATCGACTACAAACATATCTCTCCTTTTCTTTCTATTCTTTCTTCGATACACGATCTGCGATCGCTATAATCAATACCGCCCGACGACGCGACACTTTCCATCACGCGTTCGCCCGAGAGACCGAAGAGAATGTCAAAGAACAAAAAAA